AAAAGCAAGGAAGCATTATAGTTCTTGGCAGGTAAACTTCCTCCCTTTGGTCTCTATCACTGTGTGATGTGTTTCAAGTTAATCCCATGGAAAAGCGTTATAATGTGTCATAAAGGGAGATAATCTTAAACATACAGTAATTATTCTTTCACATAGCACTAACTTTAACCAGTCTCTATAACTAACTGAAGATTCATGTACTTTGTATTGATAAGTAAGTTGGGAATTTATGAAGCCATCAGTATAGATAGAACTTAAGATATACTAGCCAGTTTAGTTAACCAGATCCATTTTCAAAGTGCTGAAAAAAGGGCAGTAACTTGGAAAAAAATAGAAGCCATAGTTATGTAACTTGCCAAGATCATAAACTGTGTGTTAATTAGTAAGAGTGTAAAGTATGAAGTCATTGGTACAGGTAGAACTTAAGATAAATCCAACTTGCCAGTTTAGGTTAACCTTGTAAGGACAGACAAACAGATTGTTCAATAACTTAATGCCTGAAGGAACAAGAGGGCCATGATGGCCCTGGAATTGCTCACCTGTATATAGGCCCCTGGGCCAAGGCAATTTTAAACCAGGGGCTTTTATTTAAACAAACTTGGTTAGACGCCATTAGAAGATGTTTGTAAATGTTTGCAAGTTCCAATGTTCAAGATCCGAGTCACAACAGGAAAGAAGACAGGTTTAGGGACTCTGTACCCGTTACACTTTGACAACAAATATATCATTATAGCAAAAATCACAAGAGATCAACGGAATTTGGTAACAAAAGTGACAATTTCATGTTTAGTTTGGTGTCCTTTTGTTAGGTTTTAAGGCACACTATAAATATAATAAAGGAAACTTCAAGGTTTTATTGGCAGGAATAGTTACTTAAGTAGAACCACCCACCTTCCTTAAATTAGCAGGATAGCCCATCAGTGTCCCCGCTGGGATTCAAACCAACAGCAGTGAAACCATTTGGCTACAGAGAAGCATATTTCGTTGTATTCAATTAAATATCAATAAAACATTAAGTAGACAAAAAAAACCCAGCTGATTTAACCATTTTGACTACATCAACTGAACACACTTCCTAATAAAACATACATCCCAACCCCCCAGGTCCAACCTCCCAGCGCAAAATATGAATGCCAGGTACCAATAATAAAGTACTGCTATAAAGTAGTCACTTGAAAATTAAAACTCTAAATACCTTGTGACACATTCTTTATCAGAATACAAAATACGTCTGTCTCCATTTGCATTTCATAAAGCAACAAATAATTCTGACTCTTGCTATTACATGCCAGACTTAATTAATTAAATTGTCTGTCATCCAGTATTTCATATTACTGTTTTGTCAATTAACTTAAGTTAAGCAGTATAAAATGATGGAACAGTTTAAATTTTGATTGGTTTGGATTGATACGGCCCTCTGACGGCTCCTGTAATTTTTTTCCGCCATTAAAAGTCTTAATTTACTCTATTTCAAAGCCTGTCAGACTTGATTTGAAATCTAACCAACTTTGCTACAAATTGAATGAAACAAAATAGCTTATTATTGTGAAAACAATTTCGCTGGAACATGGGTTGACAATTTTGTCTTTTAAGTCATTTAGCTGTTGGAGTATCTGGTTTCAAATGGAGACCCTCTCTGGGCGGATTTCTCATTTTTATCAGGAAACTAAGACTGATGGGTAAATTTTCACATTTATCAATAATCCCCCGTCTGCCAATCAGAATTCACCAATTACAACATTGCTTAAATAGATAAAATAAACAATCTTGTAATTGCATATCATGATCAATATCCAAGCCCCACTTATATTACCATGATGAATTTTCATGTTTTCCCTGTCCTTTTTTTATTTTTTTTTATTAAGAAGCAAAGGGGAATTAATCCATCAAATACAGATCGAACCTGATCAGACTACATGAAAGTGCAATTGGGCCTAGACCATGTGTGGTGTTGGTTGTTTTCACTCAGTATCATGGTGGTAAGCCACCTTGAATCTGAAGCCCTCAAGAGCCATTTTTCATTTTACCATCCAGTCCAACTCTGTTGTGTATTAATATCTTATTCCTAATCCCTAACTTATAATAGGTCCACCAAAAGTATGTTTATCTATGCATCAGTCCATGAATAAAGGCAGTGTAAGCAAAAGTACAAATATCTATTTTAACACCAGTGTTTTTTACCTACTCCACCCAAAGTTAGAATACCACCAAAGGTATCCACCTACCCAGTCCATAAACAAAAGCTGCATGAGCGAAAGTGTATGTTCCTACCAAATATCAAATGTCATCAGTCAATGAATCAAGTATTATTGGTAAGCAAAAGTAATTATCAAAGCATTATTCAGTAATTATCAAGGGAGATAATACAAAAAGCAAGCAAGGAAGCATTATAGTTCTTGGCGGGTAAACTTCCTCCCTTTGGTGACTTTCTATCACTGTGGAAATCCCATGGAAAAGCATTATAATGTTTCATAAAGGGAGATAATCAAAAAACATAGAGTAATAGTTCTTTCACATAGCACTAACTTTAACCAGTCTCTGTAACTAACTGAAGATTCCTGTACTTTGTATTGATAAGTAAGTTGGGAATTTATGAAGCCATCAGTATAGATAGAACTTAAGATATTACTAGCCAGTTTAGTTAACCAGATCCATTTTTAAAGTGCTGAAAAAAGGGCAGTAACTTGGAAAAAATAGAAGCCATAGTTATGTAACTTGCCAAGATCATAAACTGTGTGTTAATTATTAAGTGTGTAAAGTATAAAGTCATTGGTACAGGTAGAACTTAAGATATATCCAAGGTTAACCTTGTAAGGAGAGACAAACAGATGGTTCAATAACTTAATGCCTGAAGGAACAAGAGGGCCATGATGGCTCTGGAATTGCTCACCTGTATATAGGCCCCTGGGCCAAGGCCAATTTTAAACCAGGGGCTTTTATTTAAACAAACTTGGTAGACACCCATTAGAAGATGTTTTCATAAGAAGATTTTTTAAGTTTTTACAATTTTTAAAGTTGACTACCAAAGGAACATTCCTGTGAAGTTTGGATGAAATTGGCTTAGTGGTTTATGAGGAAATGTTGTTTAAAGTTTATGGACAGACGGACGGACGCCAGATGAAAAGCGATCACAAAAGCTCACCATGTCACTTTGTGAATAAAAAACAATTGGAGCATGGAACTATGCTTAATAAAAGAATATTCTACCTATATGTACCTACCTACACTACCCAAACTTGCATGGGCCGTGAGAGGGAAAAAAAGGTAATTGTAAGGTTTGCCCTACTGTGTATTAAACAGGAGTCTTTTCCTGTATGTGAAATGTGAATGGAAAGTGAATGATAATTTTATTTCTTCAAATAAAACGAAAATTTATTATGTTATTAACAATGACAGCAGGATAGGCTCCTAACAATTAATTTTTTCCAATAAATTTGATACAAAAATATTCTAAGGATGAAAAAGAATGATATTAAAAGCATGATCTGCAATATAAAGTAAAGTACTTATACTTTAACTTCTCATCATCCACAGGTCGATTTTCAACAACGAAAAATTTTGTGCAAGCTTTTGTAAATATTCATTATTGCAAAAACCATTCATTTCAATTATGAAATTCTATTGCCTATTGACAAGTCATAACCAGACATATTTTCTTGCCAAAAAACTCCATTTGTCTTCTACATCTTCGTTTTGTAGACAAATGAAATTTGAGCCGATATTTTGAAAAACATTTTCAATATACGAATATCGCCAACCAATCAGACAAAAATCAACCTTCATGAAAGTGATAGCTCCCTAAGGTCTGTTTGAACCTATAGACTGAAGGCCCATCATGAAAATTTAATTCGCTTTTTGGCATAGAGTTATTTGCAGTGAAAAAAAAATTACACATGATCACGAAAAATAAATTTCTTTTATCAATTTGGAAAAGTTCAGACAGAGCGTGTTTTTTGCCAAATTTAGTCTTACCAGGTGCTCTTTTAATTAAGAAGTCATTGATCTTAAGTAGAAAGTGAAAGATGCAATGAAAGATTAATTGATTACATCAAAACTGTTTGAAGTAATGATTCTTCCAGAAAAAAAAATCTCCTTTTTTTTTTTAGGTCATCCTGATGAAAAGTTAAGAAAACAAATTAAGCTCTTGTTAGTAAAGAATGGGTTATACTTTTACTTTTTTCCTCATTTAATAAGTAGTCTAAAAGGCTATCTTTTGGTAAGTCAAGTGTACCATAACAATGGTCAGGGTAAGTGTGGACTAGCCAACATGAGAAAGTGTTCGATCAATCTATTTCAGCTACTTTAAGGCTACAAGCATTTGAACTGGTTATAGAGAGACCTTGGTTTTATTTGTTTTTTTTTATCACTTTAAGTGACACTAACACAGTGAAGGTCATATATTGACTTACTAGCTTTACTTGTAGAGGAAGACCTCTTGTGCATGAAATAAAACAGGCACCTGAGTAAACCCATTGACCTTCCGTAAGCCAGCTGGATAGCTTCCTCACATGAAAGTATCCAATGTCCATGACAAGATTCAAACCCACAGTGATTAAAGTCATTTGCTAGTCAGTAAGCTTAACCAACTTTGTAACAAACCCCCCCCCCCCCCCTCCCCTCTCTCCTTGGTTTTTACAAGAACGGTTACAGTATGTTAGAAAGTAGCTCTGAAAAGAATTCAGAATAAATTTAGAGAGAATAAGAGATTTCATTCCGAAACAATAGAATAAGGGGCCAGTGGCCATTATTTAACAAAAGAAAATAACAACAGAAATGGCCCCTTATTCCATTTAAGGCACATGTCTGTCCATCCGTCCATAGACAATTACTTTTCCCACAGGATATTACTTTTGAAGGATTTAAATTTTGTATTTATATATTTTACACCCAAACAGAGGTTAAGTTTGATTTTCACTGAAATCAAAATTGCAAAATTCAATGTGTTCAAAATGGTGTTGAACACAAAAAAAAAGCTCACTTTTATAAACATTGTTACATACCTGCAATGTCTTCATCTGAAGTCTCGTCTTCTGTACTAGAAGATGATATAGAGGCAGGGTCATCACCTGTCAATAAAAAAAGATGCATAAATTAAGTTTATTTGTTTTTATATGTACAATGATTTTAACACATTTTTTTGTCATATCTGGCTAACTGGGTTTCCTAGATAACTAACCAGTATAATACCAATTTCTACGCAAGTGACCAACTACTAATCCCACAAGATTTCTGAATGATGAGAGATAAATGACCATTGGACTTTATGTCCCAGATGAAATGTCCCGTGAAACTTGCTATGTCCGAGAATCAAACCAGTCACCCCTAGATTAAAAATTATTTGAAATTCTTACATGGATCTGCTGAGACACTTAAAACAGAAAGATATGCAAAAGATTAATTAGAAAATATACTTGAAATTTGTATTTTTATGCTTTTGATAGCCAGATTTGAGTGAAAAGTATTGCAACACTTTTCAATTTTAAGGTCATTTTTCACAATTAGAATAATCATTCTGTAAAAACAGAGAGAGTGAATGATCTGAAATTTTGCACACAAATTATCAAACTGAACATTAATCTCAAAAAATTATTTCCAGTCCCGTCATGTCAAAAAACTCATTGGAATCCCTATAAAAGTTAAAAAGTTCAAGGAGTCCCTATAAAAGTTAAAAAGTTCAAGTATCTCAGAAGACAGAGTTACTGTAATAGAATTAGTCCAACTAACATTTACACATTAAATGTAATACTATAATTAAGTCAAAAATATATCTAAATTCCCCTTTAATTACTTCTGAGGATTTGTTTTAAATCTCCGGATAAATTGGATTACTTTTAACCATATTTTCAAATTTTCCCCCAGTTGCTGTCTGTTTAAGTTACATATTTAACCAATTTCTTGTAAATTCTCACTAAATAGATTTTAAGACAATTTATAAGTTCAAATTCTTGTAAAATCTATTTAGGATATCTTAAAGATTAAAAAGCAATTTTATGAAAATAAAAAGTTCCAAAAAGCTTTTAGAAATTCTTTGAAATTCATCTCAAAGGTCAAAAATTAAACATTTAAAAAAAACAAAAACAAAAACTTTTTACTCTACAAGAAATGCATTAAAGACAAACTTAAACAAAGTTATTTTTTTCGGACGAAGTCTGTCTGTTATAGGTTTGACTTCCCGTAAATTAACAGGGAAGGACAGAATATAAGACAAATTTTCATTGGTCATTTTAAAATTACAAACTGAAATCAATGAAACTCATTGGTCATTCTAAAATAAAATGTAAAGGACAGTCCTAGCCATTCTAAAAAAATGTAAGGGATAGTTCTTACCATTCTTGAAATAAAATTTTAAGGATAGCTCTATGATAAAATGTAAGGGATAGTTTTGACACTACAGAAAACAAGTAAAAAGGACACCTTAACTAATAAATTGAAGTTGTTCTTCTTTGAAAAATCATCAATATCAATATCTTATAATGTAATTTCAATGTTTACAACATGGATATTTTCTATATAGCTACAAGAAATAATTATCATGTCATTGTTATGCAAGCATTGCTAACATATCTTTTTGTATTGAAAACTTAAAAATAACATACTTTTGCATAAGCTAAACTGTTATGCTTCGGCCGAGTAATCTTTTTAAAAGTTATTTCTTGTTTTATATCATGTTATTTTAACTTCACATAGTTTTTTTGTTGCGTTGGACGTCCAGCTGAGCAAGATAGCCCCACTTCGCTATGAATAGTTGAGCTAAAAATGTAAGGGCAACAATCTGTGATAGCCTATTTTATTTCTTTATAATGTTTATAAGTTACTATGCAACTGGTAAAATGTGTATTACATTTATAGGACTAACTTGCATTTAATTAACCTATTGGTTCTTTAATTAAACATGCAATGTACATAACTGACATTTGTTAGTTCATCAAACATGTTTTCAGAATGCATTATAATTGAAGTAAGTTCATTAAAATGTTTATTTGATGCATATAACTGACCTAAATTCATAAAACATGTTTACAAAATGCATATAATTGACTAAAGTTCATAAAGCATGTTTACAAAATGCATACAATTTACCTGAATTCAATAAACATGTTTACAAAATGCATATAATTGACCAAATTTCATTAAACATGTTTACAAAATGCATAAAATTGACCAAAGTTCATAAAACATGTTTACAAATGCATATAATTGACCTGAATTCAATAAACATGTTAACAAAATGCATATATATAATTGACCAAAGTTCATAAAACATGTTTACAAAATGCATACAATTGACCTGAATTCAATAAACATGTTTACAAAATGCATATAGTTGACCAAAGTTCATTAAACATGTTTACAAAATGCATATAATTGACCAAAATTCATTAAACATGTTTACAAAATGCATATAATTGACCAAAATTCATTAAACATGTTTACAAAATGCATATAATTTACCAAAGTTCATAAAACATGTTTACAAAATGCATATAATTGACCAAAATTCATTAAACATGTTTACAAAATGCATATAATTGACCAAAATTCATTAAACATGTTTACAAAATGCATATAATTGACCAAAATTCATTAAACATGTTTACAAAATGCATATAATTTACCAAAGTTCATAAAACATGTTTACAAAATGCATATAATTGACCAAAATTCATTAAACATGTTTACAAAATGCATATAATTGACCAAAATTCATTAAACATGTTTACAAAATGCATACAATTGACCTGAATTCATTTAACGTGTTTACAAAATGATATGATTGACCAAAGTTCATAAAACATGTTCACAAAATGCATATAATTGACCAAAGTTTTACCATGCATATTATTAATGTGAGTTCATGAAACATGTTTACAAAATGCATATAATTGAGCTTAGTTCATTAAAAGATGTTTACAGAATGCATATAAATCATGTTCAACCTAGATTCATAATGATTCCTTTTTTAGAGTTACCAGATGGAAATTTCAGCATAGCATAGAGGATAGGAGTGTGAAAGTAGCAAGGAGTAAACAAAACATATACCTTTTGTCAGGAAAAACAGACCTTAAAAAAACCCATTTAAGCTGAAAAAGGCATAATTAGAAATTAAATAGTTCCCCCAGTGCTACAATTAGACATTGCAAAATTCCCTTTGATGTTTTGTTTTTCAATATACCCATCCTTTCATACAGTTGGAATTTCGTGTAGCTAGGCAATCACTTTTTTTACTTCCCCTGATTGTTTTTATATGTGTCTGAGAACTTTAATGATTGTCTTTTCATGTAATTATGTAATGTAAAGAAAATTAACTTACATGCTGTTTATTTGAACAATAAAAGAGCCAGTGCTTGTTAAAGTACATAACATTTGTTTAATATTTCCTTTTCTAATATTCCTAATTACCAGACATACCAATACAAATTTATATTTTACGCACTTGTATGACAACTGGACACACAACCAAAATTGATTCACAAATACATTTCAGGCAGGTATCAAGACTGATTGTTAATGAGTGGTAATTTTGAAAACCTTAATTTTCAGCGAGTCTTAAAAACAATCAACTATTAATGATTACAGACTTTGAAAACATTTCTTTCCTGGTTGGCTCAGTGATAATGATCACAGACTTTGAAAACATTTAATTACATTTCAGGGAGGCTCAGCGACTAAGTCTAAATGATTACAGACTTTGAAAACATTACTTTGCAGGGTGTCTCAGCAATTAAGTCAAACAGATCACAGATTTTGAAAACATCACATTTCAGAAGTCTCAGCAATCAAGTAACTATGATCACACCCTTGAAAACATTTTTTTTCAGCAATCAAGATGTAATGATCACAGATTTTGAAAACATCGCAATGCAAGGAGGTTCAGCGATTAAGTTAATGACCACAAACTTTGAAATTTCAGGGAGGCTCAGCAATCAAGTCACTATGATCACAGATTTGAAAACAGTACTTTTCAGGGAGGCTAAGTGATCAAGGTGTAATGGTCACAGACTTTGAAAACATTACTTTTCAGGGAGGCTAAGTGATCAAGGTGTAATGGTCACAGACTTTGAAAACATTACTTTTCAGGGAGGCTAAGTGATCAAGGTGTAATGGTCACAGACTTTGAAAACATTACTTTTCAGGGAGGCTAAGTGATCAATGTGTAATGGTCACAGACTTTGAAAACATTACTTTCAGGGAGGCTAAGTGATCAAGGTGTAATGGTCACAGACCTTGAAAACATTACTTTTCAGGGAGGCTAAGTGATCAAGGTGTAATGGTCACAGACTTTGAAAACATTACTTTTCAGGGAGGCTAAGTGATCAAGGTGTAATGGTCACAAACTTTGAAAACATTACTTTTCAGGGAGGCTAAGTGATCAAGGTGTAATGATCACAAACTTTGAAAACATTACTTTTCAGGGAGGCTTAGTGATCAAGGTGTAATGGTCACAGACTTAGAAAACATTACTTTTCAGGGAGGCTGAATGATTAATGTGTAATGATCAGACTTTGAAAACATTACTTTTCAAGGAAGCTCACAATCAAGTCACAATGATCACAGACTTTGAAAAAAAAAAATTTTCATGCAGGTTTAGTGATCAAGTGGTAATTACCTTGGAACTCTTAATAACCTTGCTCTCACACAACCTTAACTAAAAATCCTTACAGGTTGTTATTTCCTTAAAGGAAAAGTAAAGTTGTGGTTCTTCTTCGATGTAGGCTCAGTGTAGGCTCGCTCCTGTAATAATTAAAGCATTTACTATTGTCCTTAATTCAACTATTGCTGCAGTTACACTAACGTCATCGCTTCAGTTATAAACTATGTAAACAAGAGCCACCGCCGGGCGGGGGCAACGCTCGACTTTTTACTTTTTCTAAACGCAAACATAGAAAGGTTTGAACATATATTAACGTTTCCTTTTTATAAATTTAGTTGGTCTGTCTTGTCACATTAGTTTTCTTTATATATTTTGTATATATATGAATAGAAACATTAAGCATATTTCTAAAAATAGCAACAGTACGCAATTTCTTAAAATAGCAACATGACGCAATTTCTAAAAATAGAAAAA